TGCATACACAGACATGGATTCTACATGTACACAATTACAGAGTCTATGCTGTGTAAATACCTTGGATTCACACACAGAACATAAACATACTATGGATGCTTTGCTTTTCTGTTTCCTCCAGGAATCAGGTACCCTCCATAACTGGGCAATAGCATAGCTGGACTGTAGTACCTCTGCCTTCTGATCCTGAATCCAGTGACCCCCATCAAAGGAAGAGAGCAAGCACACGTACTGAACAACACCCAGGACAACTCAGCCCATGAACCGAAGCATGACAGAGATGGACTGCACTGCACATTGCTTTCTCAGATCTACTGACCTCCACCTTGGCTTCAGGCACATTCATGTTTCCGGCAAGCTCCCCTCTGTGTGGAGAAAGCCACAAAGATCATCAGCCCATATCATGAGGAAGGTCAGAGGATGGGCATGGTGTGTGCGCCTCCTCCTGCTCAGGTCCACAGGGACACTCAACTGGCTGAAGAACCAGGCTCCTTCAACAGAGGGCTTCACCTCCTCACAGTATTAAAACTGGTCAGGTTCACCAGACAGTCCTGGCCACTGATCTTGGACCCCAGAGACGACCTTTACAATGGAGCCATGGGAGAGCTTGCCAGCTGAATTAGGCTGGAGTGTGGGGAAGAGGGCAAAAGATCACAGGAGGACTGAGCCTTGTGGGAAGTTCTGTGGAATTTCTCATGATGACAGACTCCACCTTATGGTTTCTGTATGTGGCATCAGATGTTGAGGGGGCATAGTCAGCTCTGGATTTCTCTGCTGCAAGAGTCTTCAAGGATTCTGAAAGCACAGGCAAGTCACAGACCTCAACCTTCAGCAGGGGCATCTTGCACCTTTTTTTTCTTTCATGGTTTTGTCTAAGTTGATACTATGAGTCATCCAATGCTACTCTTGTAAAAGGTAACATATTCCAAATTGCTGGTAAAGATTCTCCATCAGAGACCTTGTACAATAACCTATATAGGAAGTTTCATGTCTGCAAATGCAGAACCGCATGGGTAGATGCCCTCTTTGTGTAGTAACGTAGATTAACATCTTAGGGGTGCAGGTATATAGGAACAATACCTGTGTAGAGTAGGCACTGTAGACACTTTAAAGGCAACAAACAGAAAAAGTGTGGGTAGTCTTCGTGGAAGAGTGACTGACTCCTGTGCTCAAATGTGTTGCAGGATTCTGGGGACCATGTTGGGTGTTAATAGGAACAGACAGTAAATGCAATATTTTCCTTTGGTTTGTGTCTTTGCTTTTAGTTTGTGACAGTCTCTCATGTATCCCAGGCTATCCTGAACACTACTTGTCTGGTCACTACTGTTCCAGTACACTGGCCTGGTGTGGGACTCTCCCAGCATTTAAGACCCCTAACATCACAGGAGTGCACAGAGATACCTGATCATGATCAGTTAACTGATTTCAAAAGACAGCTAATAGAAGTGTCTGCTTAGCTGTGTATAGAGCTGTTCATGGCAGGACAGCTGACAGGAATTGTAAATATATTCGAGGTCAGATCTCTCCACCTATCAATATGAACTCCAATCAATACCTAGAACACTGAAACCTTGTCAAACAGTTGCAGCCACAGGCTGAATGAAGCAGGCCAGTTTTGTGTTGGAGGAAATAAATTGCCTGCTTTTATTGAAGGGAGACACAGAGCACTGCCCCTTTGGGCTGAAATGGCTTCAGAGAAAGATCCAGAAGGTGGGCTGTGATCATTGCATAGAGATATGCTCTGAGCTCTCTGTGAGGTGTGGAAAGTTCTTCAAGGGCATGGCCAACCTAGCAGTTAGATAAGAACATCAGAGCCCATGCCAGTGGTGACTGTAACCTCAGTGACTCTAAGTCCCCAAGGAAACTCACTGGAAACAGGTCATTTTCCCTTCAGGAGGAAGTGCTGTGTGGATGTTGGCTAGCTGGATGAAGGGATATTTACATAACGTCCTCAATGGACATCAGAATGTATCTCCTCCTCCTGAATTGTCAATGGAAGCTCTATCCCTAAGACAGGATCCCCATGTCAGACACCCTGAAGAGAAGCAGAGAACCCTTTTCAACAACTGTTTAGCTGATTTCCCACCAAGCTCTGCCCATGATTTAAGTAGATGCCCTCTCAGAGAAATAGTGAAAATGTTCCCTTGCAGAGCAGTCTGAGGTACAGCAAAGGGACACCTTATCTAAATGGTGGGAAGATCAGAATCTGATTCAGGCATGTGTTCTCCTAGAGCTTCCCTCAACAGGACTGGCTCTGCTGCTGGATACACATGTTGTGTGCTGCAGTTTCCTCCAAGAGGAGACATTCCATCAAGGAGGAAAACTCCTGAAGACCTAAGACATTCCAAATTGAGGTGAAACATTTCATGATACAGGAGAGCTCATAAAGACACAGGAAGGAAACAGCTCAATCCCTTCCTGTGGCCTTACTAGAGATTTGTTCACATTTCCTCATGACTCCCCATAGAGAGTGTCAAGGACACATCTCCAGTGCACACCATGGACTACATGAGGAGAATCTGAAGCCATCACTAGATTCAGTTCATGGAGTTTGGCTCTGTGACATGTCTGATGACACCAGATGTGGCAGACTGGAAGACAATCAGTCTGGAAATAACAGTTTGTACTTGGAAGTTTGGTGGCAGGTGCTGAAATAGAACTCATAAAATTAGTCTTTTGCTGCAACATCAAACCAAGAGCCCAGGAGCCTTCCTCTGTGTACCTTGGGTTCCCTAGTGAACCCATCTCTCTTTCTCTCTGAGTAGCCAAGGTTGATCCCCTCCATGAGAACGTGTTGATTATCTTAGGGGAAATGTGGTTGTGAAATACCATCAGGAAGTCAGCTAGGAGCAGGGACCTTTTGTCAGTGTCAGCCACACCAGCAGCAGCAGCAGCAGCAGCAGCAGCAGCAGCAGCAGCAGTAGCAGTAACAAATGGTGGCAGCATGGTCAGAAAAAAAGAGGTCAACCTATGGAAGATGGAAGACAGAAGGTGGAGCATTTCAGGATTTCAGGTTCCTGGAGACTGAAGCCCCTGGAAACCACTGTCCCCCACACACACTTTCAAGACTGAGAACAGCTCTCAGAGTTTTCCAACCCCCATGGATCTAGGAGATAAGCACTGGGCTCCATCAGGCTCATGCTGCCCGAGGGCATGAGCTCTGCTCAGACTTCATTCCTCCCTCCAGATCCCTTTCCAGCCTTCCCTGTGCAAAGACAAACTAGTTTATCCAAACCTCACACATCACAAAATACATAATGTCTCCTGACCAGCTCAGAGTAGACCTCATTAGCTGGTGGTATGTGTTAGAGGAGAAAGTCACAACTTGACAAAGTGCAGCCATTAAGAGAGTATGGAGTAAACACTGAATGGCTTCTCCTGTGACCTAAAGAATCAATTCAGTGGAATGAATGCACAGTGGAAAGGCAGGTTTATTGGGATGGCTCTAGGGCAGTTTTACTGACCTTCCAGGAGGGGGTTGTGAAGTCCCAAGGCTGAATTGGGTTGAAGGATTCTTTAAGGAGATTGGAGGGAGTTTTGATGGAATGGGAGGTACTTGGGTCATAGGCTTATTTGGGGAATTGTGGGTGCACTGGCCACATTGGAATCCGGAACTAGGAGCTTGCTTTGTCCAGTATTTCGAGAAGGCACTTGTGAGGACCTTTTGAAACCCTGGCTTTTGTGTGGGCTTTTTGAAAACCTGAATTTGGAAGGCCTGGCTTTTGCAAGAGCAGGTTTTTTCAAGGTCAGGCTTTTGCTAGCACAGGCTTCTGAAAAGGAGATGAGGGCTGGAATCTCTTGGTTCAGGGCATGTTGTTTTGTCCTAAACCTCCTGCCTAATACTCAGGTCTAAATGGGACACCTCTATCATACCCCTTGTTCACAGGGACCATTAAGGAATATAATCACATATGGCAGGAGAGAGTGTTGCAAGTTTTCTGCACTGACTGATTGCTCTGCAACATTGCTAGGGGCTCCTCCTTCTTTATACACCTAGAGCTGCTGAGAAGCAAAATCCCTCCCTCCCCAAAGCACCAAATCTCTTATGCTGAGGGTTCTACAAGGCCAGTGACAAAATACAGACACATCCTAGAGCACTACATGCCCACTTCATTTTGTAATCAGTTTGGAAGGTATTCAGAATGCATCCCAAGGCCAGTAGTGTGCTAGCCATGCGCTCTAGTACTGAGTCACTCTCCCTGAAGAATCACTACACCTGTAAAATACCCAAAAGAATTTGTTCATCAGTCTAACCCAACGAGATGTTGTGGATATTCCTCAGGTGTAGTCTGATTATTCAGTATGCTGGAAGCAATAGGGTTTGTTCTCAATAAAAGAGTAAAAATATCTTCCCAAGAAGCCCCTTAGAACTCATCAGTCCTGTAGTCTGCTGAGCAGGCAAGGGTGGGACCATTTGCTCCCCGAGACCTAATGGAAGAAGGGAGACAGAAACCTCCCTCTGAAATGGATGAACAGGTTCTCCTCTCCCTTCTATGCAGCATGATCTCTGGCCAGTGTGGGTCCCCTAGTGCTCTAAAAGTCCACAGAGAGGGAGGACAGGACACATAATGTCCTCATTCCTCCTGACCATCAAACTGGGAGTAGCCTCTGGGATATTCTCAACACCATCCAGGGGTAGAGGGACAGAGTGGGTGGCTTATTGTCTAGAAACAGACTGTCCTTCTGCTCATAGGGGATTTCCCTCTCTGTCCTTATAACTTTTTCCCACATTGGCAGTGATTACTGCCTGCCCGTGTCCATTTCTAAGGAAGGCTTCCTTTGTATTCTGCCTAAATGCCATGTCTGGGATTGACTCCCATCCTTCAAGTATTTACACCCATATTTTAATAACTTCAAAGACAATGGAGACAACATAGTTAGAATCCACTTCTTTATTGCTGAAATAATAAGGTTGTCCTGGCCGTCATGGGTGGCTCAGAAGAAGCCATCCTCATCTGGCTCTAGGACAGGGGTGGCACTCAAGTGCTGCTCCAAAATCTTCAGGGAGAGTCGCTCTGGGGAAGTGGAGACAGATAGCAGAGCATGAGCAGTCTCTTGTTTCTCTTGTAAAGGGATCTCCTCATCCGAAACCAATTCTATAATCAGGAGACAGAGGTACTTTAGTACACTGAACAATGTCATCACTAAAGCACACACGCTAGAGCACTACTTGCTCTAGCTTGCTACATTTTGTAATCAGTTTGGAACGTATTTAGAACACATCTCAAGGCCAGTGGTGTGCTAGTCTTGTGCTGTAGTAGGGAGCCACTCCCCCAGAATAATCAGTACATCTTTTAAATGCCCCCAGAGTTCATTAGTCTAACCCCAAAAGGGGTTGAATATAGTTCTGAGGTGCATTCTGATTATTCAGTATGCTGGAAGCAATAGGATTTGTTCTCAAAAATATCCTCCCCAAAAGCCACTTAGGACATGGGATACCACACCCAGTCTTTCAACTTTCACAGAACAGAAACAAAACATTGCCTCTTTTCTCCATCCTTAATGTGTTTTATACATTTCTTCAGGAAGAATTCACATGTCCTCATGGGTGGTTCCTGCTCCTTGCTGTGGTAAATTATCAAAAATTCTCCAGCCCACCCCCAAGAACCATAGGAAGCCAAGAGGCAGTCTGCTGAGGATCCAAGGTGTTAGTCATTTTTGAGTACCCAGAATGCACATTTTATGAGACAAAGGGCACCTCTTCCTGCTTGGTGTTTCGTTTCCGGCCTCCTAGATTAGTGACTATAGGTCTTTCCTCTTGTCAGCATTAGATGTGGAAAAGCTAGGGCTGAGTGTAATGGTGGTCAGAGTGCAGATACACACCCACTAAATCACAGGTAAATGTGCCATAGGCTGTTTCAGGCCCCTGGTCCCACTATTGGTTTCAGAAGGAAGCTAGGTCTCTCACATTTACAGACCAGAGCACTGAGCCACTCTGAGAAGAGTTCTCTCTTGTGAGAGAAGAGTTTCAGACACATTCAGAGTGACAGAGTTTAAAGTGGGTAAGAACATGGTCTCTTCACTTGTGTGATGCACATGGGCTGCACAGCCTCCAGAAGGTCTTCGAGAACAGACTCCATCCCTGAAGGACAGACAAATCACCTAAAAGCTAAGAAGCTTTTCTGTTGGCCCAGCTGGCATTTCCTGCCTGGGAAAATGGAGGCCTGGTGTCATCTTGAACCTAGCCTGTCTGTGTACTGTTCTAGTAGCCTTGGGACACAACCTCAGGGTCCTGTCCTGCTAATACAGTTCTAGACAGGAATGTCACCTGGTGTAGCGCCCTTCTGAAAACGGTTATTTTGTTTTTTTTTTTTTTCAGAAGACTTACCAGGACGTCATATTCCTCCACACCCATACATCTTGCAAGATGCCTCCTAGAAGGAAAACATTGCAACATTAAGGCTTTGTCGTAGAAATCAAGTGTGTAAAGACACCACCTATTTTATTATATGTTTGGGTTCACACTTGTGTGTGTACACATGTGTATACATAGTCACTATTCTTAACATTTACCTCAATTAATCCTAGCTGTGATAATAGGTTCCACTCAGTGACCAAATTTAAGGGTATCCCAGGAAGCACAGATGCCTCTTTAGCTTACTGAAAGTGTAAAAATCACTAAAGAGTGCATACGAGGTGAAATGTATTTGGAAAATTTTAACTGGAAGTGGAATCCCTCCTGCTTTCCCCAGCCACGCCTCAGACTTCTCAGCCATACTTCTGGAAACTCATTTAGAGCACCAAACATTGTCTAAATATCCTAATCTTGAATAGGTCAATAAGAGACTTGTTTCAATCCGCTTAGCCCGCATACCCCTACCCCAGGATCTAATTGCAGGCAGAAGGTCCTAATTGCTGGGGGAAAGTCTTAAATGCATATGGAAGGTCCTAAATGCAGGGGATGGTCCGGGACGGCTCCCATTATTTCTACAGGGAATCAGAGGCCTGGTGAGAGCTAAAGGACACCAGTAAATCAGGCGCCAAGCAGTAGCCATCTGCTTACCTTGCTCGAAAGGTGGGGTAGTGAGTCTCTTGGAAAAGGCGCTCTAGATCATGCAGCTGAGCATGGGTGAACCTGGTGTGGTTGTACCGGTGGTGAGCCAGATTGTTCCCAGCCTGTTGATTCCTGGCACCCTCAGGAATCGCTGCCTCTTGCTGAGGTTGTTGTTGATTATTGCTGCCTTGGCCACCTTCTTGCTGGATGTTGTCATCCGCGGAGCCAGAAGCACCATCGCCAGCTTGTCTTCCCTCCATTTCTTCTTCCTTCTTTTCTCCCTCCTCTCCTACTCCTGTGGCTTCCTGAGTGAGACTGAACTGAGCAGGCTCTTCTTGAGCAAGCTTGCCTCCAGCAACCTCGCCCAGAGAGAGTTCACCCTGATTAAGCCAACCCTGAGCAAGCCCGCCCACTACAATCCCTTTCTTGTCTCCTCCCTCTCCAGCCTCGGAGACCACTGTCTTCCTACCTGAAAGACAGAGAGGAGATAAAGATCTGAGCGTAGTGGCCCAGGGATCTCTGGAAACCCTGGAGAGGAACACAGGCAGGGCTCCGTAACCGAACTAAATTGCAGGTCCATTCTTCTTTCTACCGGTTTCTCTCTGAGTTTCATCAATGTCCTGATAGAGGGCTAATATCCAATATATACAAAGAACTCAAGAAGTTAGACTCCAGACAACCAAATAACCCTTTTAAAAATGGTATACAGAGGTAGACAAAGAATTCTCAACTGAGGAAAGTTGAATCGCCGAGAAGCACATAAAGAAATGTTCAAATGTCATCAGGGAAATGCAAATCAAAACCACCCTGATTCCACCTCACATCAGTCAGAATGGCTTAGAACTCAGGTGATAGCAGACTCTGGCGAGGATATGGAGAAAGAGGAACACTCCTCTAATATTTGTAGGATTGCAAGCTGCTACAACCACTCTGGATATCAGTCTGGTGGTTCCTCAGAAAATTGGACGTAGCATTACCTTAGGTCACAGCTATACCACTCCTGGGCATATACCCAGAAGATACTCCAACATATAACAAGGACATATGCTCAACTATGCTCATAGTAGCCTTATTTATAATAGCCAGAAGCTGAAAACAACCCATATGTCCTTCAACAGAGGAATGGATACAGAAAATGTGTTACATTTATACAATGGAGTATTACTCAGCTATTAAAAACAATGAATTCGGGAAATTCTTAGGTAAGTGGATGGAACTAGAAAATATCATCCTGAGTGAGGTAACACAGTCGCAAAAGAACACACATGGTATGCACTTACTGATAATTAAATATTAGCCCCCAAACTGGCAATACCCAAAATACAACTCACAGACCACATGGAGCTCATGAACAAGTCAGACCAAAGTGTGGGTGCTTTGGTCCTTCTTAGAAGGGGTAACAAAATACTCAATGAAGCAAATATGGAGACAAAGCATGGGACAGAACCTGAAGGAGGGGTCATCTGGAGACCATTACACCTGGGTATCCATCTTTTGTGCAGTCACCAAAGGTAGACACTGATGTGGATGCCAAAAAGTGTATGCTGACAGGACCCTGATATAGCTGTCTCCTTAGAGTTCTGCCAGCACCTGACATATTCAGAGGCAGATGCCTGTAGCTAAGCATTGAACTGATCATGGGGTTCCCAATGGAAGAGATAGAGATAGACTGAAGGAGTTGAAAGGGTTTGTGGCCCTATTGGGAAAGCAACAGTACCAACCAACCAGAGCTCCCAGGGTCTAAACCACCAGCTTGGGAGCACTTAGGGTGGAACCCATGGCTCCAGCTGTATATGTAGTTGAGGATCAAATTTTCAGGCATAGGTGAGAGAAGAGGACCTTGGTCCAGTGAAGGCTGGATGCCCCAGTGTGGAGGAATTCAAGGGTTGGTAGGTGGGAGTGGTTGGGAGGGTGGGGGCACATCCTCATAGAAGCAGGAGAAGGAGGGATGGCATAGGTGGTTCCTGGGAGGGGGTAAATGGGGAAAGGGATCACATCTGAAATGTAAATAAATATCCAACAAAGAAAAAAGAAGTGCTTGGTTGGATTCTATCAGTCCATCTTCTGTTGTGTGTGTTAGTTTTCCCTTGCTTTCTGTTTCTGTGACAAAATATCATGACTAAAAGAAATCTGTAGAGGAAAGAGTCTAGTTGCTTTGGATCTCACAGTTTAACATTTAGCAAAGTGGAGGCAGGAAGTGGAGGCAGGAGCTGAAGCAGAGGCCATGAAGAGATGCTGATTACTGGCCTGCTCCTTGTGGCTGGTTCAGCCTGTATTCTTTATGCTCCAGAATGACCTGCACAGGCGAGGCCCTTCCCACAGTGGAAGGCACTCTCACCTATCAATCAGTAATCCAGAAAATGCCCACAGGATTTATTACAGAATTACAGACATTTTTGAAAAGAGAGTTCTTCCTTCCAGATGTTTCTAGTTTGTATCGAGTTAACAAAAACACACATCAGCATCACTGACACTTTGTCCAGTTCAAACACACCAGAAAAACACATAAAATTACAACAGGCAAGCACATATAAAACTAAAACAGACAAGCAAACATATAAATATACAAACAAAGACCTTCCCAAAAGAATCTCTCAGAGTCAATGCTGCATATGGAATCCCACCTGTGGCTAGAACTGCCTCTCTCTGGATGAAGACTGTCTTTTCTTGGGGATTTTCAGTTCCCCTTTCACACATGTGTGTCAGCTATGGTAGCATAGCTGACTCAGTTCCTTGGATCGGCAGAGGGTTGAGGGTGAGAGAAAGAAAGACAAGGAGTCATCTGGTAAAGACCAAATGCTATATTTTCAACTGTGTAGCTCCCTTTTATACTCTCCAAAAAACAGGAACACAAACAGGAACAGGAATAAAACAGGAACAAGGAGATACAGTCTGCAGTTTGCCACCCAAGCTTTGATTTCTCCTTGAGCAGTCTTCTCAGAGAAATGCATAGAGACAGGGGAGGGGGCATAACAGCACAGGTGCAGAGAATGTTGACTCACTCATATGGGGTACAATATGATCAAGGTGAGGACAGAGAGGTCATAATAGAGGACAAAACAATGTATGGATTTTGCAAACTCACTGTGACATGTGACAACCTTCTGTGATGTTAAATAGCTACTAACATTCACACAGTAACAGCACCCC